CTTCATCACTAGAAGATACTCTAACAAGCAATATCGTAATATCATATCATATTATTTATCAGTGATAAATAAAGGGCAGGGAAGCAGTTAAGTGTGAAGGAAAAATAACCTGGTTAAAGTACTAGGAGAGTGAAAACATCTACTGGTTATATTCAAGAGCCATTTTTCTAATAACATTTATTTGGAGACAAAAGTTTTATGGGTAATAAACAAAACAAGAATATTGTTTGTTTTATATCAATCACATATTATATCAATCTGTCCATCTAATCTAAAGTCTTATATAATGCATTGTTTAGACTACTATGCTAAGAAAAGCTTTGTTTCTTCCTAGAAGCTGGTTTAGGATCCAATTTATAGCCCAATCATGGATATAATTTTGAGATATATTTAGAACTTTTCTGTGTGCTCCATTCCATTCTACAAAGCTATATAACTTTATTTTAAATTGTTTTCTTAGTAAGTTGAGGTGGGGCATATGAATAAATATAAATATAGATATAACTATAAATATAATAATATATGTATATATGTGCACACATTTGTGTAGGTACACACTGGTATTTGTGAAATGGGTCTTTTCCTGGCATATACAATGTATTTTAAGTAACTGAGTAAGATATAGTACTAGGAAAAAAAGTAAAACTTTTCCTATGTTCCATGGCACATTCATTCTGGTTGTTGAGCCCCTTGTAGTAAAAGTTTTCATTTACTTAAACTTCTTGGGCATGTAGTCAAAGGGGAGTCCTAACAATAGATTGTTGTATTACTCAGCCTAGGAGTTATCTGGCCTTTAAAAAAATAATGCAACTATGTTATATCAGTGATCAGGTTGCATACATAGTGGAGTAGACAGAATACTGGTTTTGCAGTCATCTTTGCCTGATTTCAAGATCTGGCAGGACCTTGTGTTAATAAACTGAAAGACCCTAGCAAGTTCCTTATTCTCTCAAACTTTAATGCCTTTATGTTTTTCTCTTTTTATATTTCATGAAACAATAAAACAAAATTTTATAACTAAACAGTAGGAGAATAGCAACTGTTATTATACTGCATATTGTTATCTTGTAAGTGGTTAGTCCAAGACAGTTCATAGATAAATGGGTGCAACTTGACAATATAATGTTAAATGAAAAAAGGCAAACACACAAGCTCAAATAGTGTATGTTTTCTCGTATATGAGAAACACAACAAAGAAAGATCAAAGTAGAAGAGACATGAATAGGAAGTAGGGAGAAGTTCAACTACTTCCCCAAATTACATGTTCCGTTGTTTTAAATATTTTTAATACATATGCTAACATGTTTCACTTGTACTAATACTTTATTTAGTTCATCAGAAACAAAGTTTGCATTAATGCTTTTATTTTAAAACTTAAGGTAATAATACTTACTTTGCACCAATGACTCAAAGAGCCCATGTCTGTTAAGAATTCAACCATTATCCACATTTTCAGAATTATATTAATTTTAAAGAAAAATGTGATTCTAAATCAATTAAAAGGTACCCTAAATATCTCCATAGCCATCCTAGAAATCTTGGTATACTATACCAGATAATAGATTGATAAATTAATTTCCACTAGTGTGGAACTGAATGGTGTGGTTATACATAAAAGTCACAAACTCATGTATGATATTCTTAGTTAAATCCCAGAGTAGGTTTTTCCTCAGCATGTTGCTGCTTAAGGGAATATACTATATTGTGGACATAAGAGTTTCTTCATAATAATTAGAATAACTAGAAAGCCTTAAATGGAGCAAAGGAAGGAACGAGACCTCTGGAATATGAAAATGCATTGAAAAGTAGGGCAGAAGGAGAATCATTCTGCCACATATGCCAAATCTCAGGATGGGAGGGATGTACAGTTCTCCCCTGAAATTTACACTCACTTGGTGCTGCTGCTGCAGCTTCTAAAATCAGACAGAGGGATCACCCGGTTGTCTTGTCTCCAGCCCAGGATCTTGTACTTAGGTGTAGCAATGACAGGGGCAGGTGGAAGGCAGAGTGTGCAAGTTTCATATATTTAAGAGTAATGAAATAAGCCCATTTTTGACATACACGGTTCTCTAACAGGGAATGGGTGGTTTTTTAGCGCTCTTCTTACACAGCATGGGAGGCAGAGACTAGGGGAGCTGTCACAGGGGAAGATCTGCACGGACCCCAGGCAGAGTGTGGGGGCTGTGTTACATGGCAGCAGCTGAGAGAAGGAACAGAGCTTCAGCCGCCTGCTCTCTGTTACCTGGCAAGCTTCGCAACCTGGAGCACTTGACAGAGCACCTGTCTGCCAGACATCTAGGTGTCCTGAGGATCAGGGACGATTATGCCTTTCAGTACCCTGCTTGGTGTGAGCAGAGCCTGCATTTCTCCTATGAAGTGTAATCTATCTCTTTGGCAGAAATGTTATTGGAATTATTTGGCTGAGGCAGTACAAATTTCATGTATTTAAGGTGTGTTGGTTTGGGGCGGCTTATTTTGCAAGGGGAACAACATAATACAGGACACATACTTTATATGATTATTTATAAGTCACCCAAAGAACAGTATACAAAAGAGTGCAGGAAATCTGTCCACACACTGAGACCAAGGAATCCAGCTGAGGGCCTGGATCCCACAACAATGTCCTACATGAGTTGAGCTAAATACCCAGAGCTCATAATAAAGCCTCCCATGAATCCAACTGGAGGCCCAAAACCCACGACAATGTCTCATGCGGACCTGTTTCATGGATCTTCTGGAAAGGCCCAAAGGTCAGTGGTGGAATCTACAAAGTCTGTGCCAGCAGGAAGAAGGATCTGTGCTAGCAGGCTGAGGGATCTGCACTGGAGCCAGGAAGTGATGCTCAGAAGAACCAGGGCTCCCCCAAAAGGTACCACGGCCATCCTCACAACTGTGAGGTCCGGAGCTCCTCCAGTGACCAGGATGGCTGAGTTCCCATCAGGGAAGTCAACGCAGCAAGCTTTTCTTGGAGGCCGGCAATGCACCATCTTCCCCTCCAGAACCAGGAAGCTATGCTCAAGGTGAGGACCAGAGCTCCCCAAAGTGAACTGAAGCCATTCTCAGTGCCAGCGAGGTCCCGAGCTCCTCGGAGGATGAAAACAGCCAAGTTCATCAGGAAGCCAGCTCCCCACAGTCTCTCTCAGCTGCCAACAGCTTCTCTCAGCTCCCAACAGCCTTCTTCTTCTTCTCCAGGTCTGCCTCTTATGCTGCTGACAACAGTCCCCAGGTGGGCCTCCCACACCCAGCACCCCTTCCTCAGTTCAGCTGGGGGTTATAAGTTGACCACCAGTTATCAATCCACCACATAAGGGTAACAAAATAAATGATTTCTCACCATACATTTTATCCTAAATTACTAAGGTGCAATGGCAGCATAAGAAGAGAGCTGGGAAGTAGACCTGTGATAGCTCTTCCGGGACATTCATTTTCTTTGGAGTCTTTGTAGTGCACTTTCTTTCACTGGAGAAAAATGAGAGGTATATTCTCGTACGGCTTCAGCTCATGTACCAAATTCCCCAGAGGGTTTTCCCATTTTAGTTTATCCAACTCTTAAAGAAACAGAATGTTGCAAAACTAAAATATTACCAGTTATTACTAAGTTTTAGACTTTAATGTTTTGTTGTGGTGCTTTCATTACCTTTGCCTTACTGTATGTGTGTCCCATCTCTAGCAAAATGACCCACAAATAAAGGAATATAACCTATTTTGAATAGCTTTGTGTATTAATTCATAGTGTTTTAATATATTGACCTGACATTTCTGATGACAATGAAGATGGCATGAGTTATATAAGGTAGACTGAAGCAAAACTAGAGGCTCCTAGGCAGGTGGCACTACAGATCTGCCTGCCCTATCTTAGAGGCCTTATCCAGTCTTCTTCATGGTCCTTATCAAATGCCATCAACCCCAGAAAAGTCTCTCTACTCTTAATGAGTAAATCGCCACCTCTGCCTCCATTGTGATCTCCTAGCCCACCTTTTTTTCTGCATCACTTATCTGGAATTTATATTCCACTCTAAATTGTAAGTACTCTTGCATATATGTTTATGTAAAAATATATTGCAATTTATATAAAATTAAGACACTTTTTAACAAATGAGACTGTTTGTTTTCCATCATATGTAGTAAACATAGAAATACAAATGTATTTATTGCATAGTATTCTTCCCTAACTGGTACATAAGTAAAAAATGGACTTAATATATACTCCATTAAGTAATGCATATATTCTACGAACAAGGCATACATAGTCTCTGCCTTGATTAGAAGTCCCTACTCTATTTCCTTCCTTCAAAAGGGGAGAGTGGGAGAATGTGAGAAGCTAGAAAAGAAAGGAAACTAAAGTAGTTAAAAGAAGCACCAGGAGTTTGTCAGAAGGCGCAGACATAATTCTTTTTCTTACATTCACAGTTAGGTTATAGAGTTTAAAACACCAGTTCTGGAACAAGCTCCCTGCCTGTATTCAAATTCTCTCTGTGCTTTCTGTCTAGGTGACCTGCATGTGTTATTTAATCTTGCTAAGACTCAGTTTCAATGATAATAGAGTCTACTGCATCAAGTAAGATCATGGCAAAATAACTGTGGTTGATTAGTATTATTTATTATTAGTTATTGTTGTCTTTGCGTGCGTTACTCTAAGGAGGGCCTGTCCAGGGCTGTGTGGAGCAGGGCAGAGACAGCCCAGGTTGGGGCCTTGTTCAGAGGCTTCCTTCCAGGATGCTAGAGCGGCTCCGGGCACCCAGAGCAGCCGCTGGTGCACGTCCAGAGCTCACCTCCTGCCGGCAGCTTTCTTTCTACCTCTACAGTTAAGTTTTGCTGGTGAGGCAAATATGTGACAATCATGAAAAACATTTGTGTGGCCTCCTGCTTTTAAGTGTACTCAGATCTGAAGATAAAATGTGTTCATTATTTTGTGAGTGAAGCTTTCCTGGCTTGAACTTTGTTTTTTCAAATACTAACACAATGAATTTTCTTCCTCCCCTACCCTCTTTTGTTAATAGGGTGCTGAGAAAATTTTGTCAATGAATGAATCAGGAGAATTGCAAGACCTCTTGACCAAAATTGAGGTAATTGTGTGTTTTTAGCAACTTATTTTTAATAATCAAAACATTAAACACATTCTTATCATAATTTGGTTTTCCTGATTGAATTTCTCTTCCATGTTCTTACAAATACATAACAGGAAACGTGACAGTTTTAACTGGAAATCACCTGCCATTAAGTCTGTTCCAGCCAGACTGATTTTAATGTTAGTTTCTAACTACCTTATACTACTAGTTGAAAATTTTCCTCATCTTTATTAGAGCCTAATTCTGTGTAATAGAGATGATAATGAGGTATTCCAAGTCAGGCAATTGTCTTAAAGTACACTTAAAATTTTTTTCATGGAAACTATATAAATTTTCCCATAATATCTGTTACTTACCCCAAAAAAGTTACTTACCCAAAAAGAACATTTAAAGTTTTGCTCCTATACTTATAATTACAGCATCAGAGAAACACTTTTTCAGTTACCCAATGCATCAAATTAATGTGTACCCTGGAAAGGAAGTCTTCATTGCTCTCCTGATTATTGTACCAAAGTGTTTCTTCCTATATGCAGAAAGACCGCATGTCTTACCATCCGGACCGGGATACTTTGAGAGCAAATAGTGTGCAGTAGAAGTGATTCTGGGACACCAAACATGAATGGCTTCCCCATGTAACCAGGCTGGCCATGGGATCAGTATCTATCTGCCATTACTGACTTATGAACCCTTCTGTTATAGTCTTCTCCCCTAACCTTATATCTCATTCTCTGTCATGCCTTGAACTTCAGTCAAATAAAAGATTTCTATGCTTTCTTACTACCATTTCTTTATACAAGCTCTCCTGGGGGTGTTAATATCCAATTCCTTATCTGCCTCCATCTGTAGCGTTACTTGTCAAAAAGTAATTTCTGATCTCTTCTACCTTTGAGAGCCAATGATCCTCTTTAGTTGGATGCTTATCAAAGTCGTCTGTTGTTTAACCTTTCTTTGGGCATTTGATTCATATACCAAATGTACTATATGCTCCTTATTTGTAAGAATCATGTTTTACTTATATTGTGATCTTTCCTGGGAGGAAAACACAATGTATTCAATCACTGAACAAATACTTTTGAGTATCTACTATTTACAACTACTCTATTAAGAAAAATAATGATGCCCTCTCAAAGAATGGCTTGAATACAGTGATAATTCAGATTAATTCTTTGTTAGCTTATGTCTTAATACTAACAATAGCATGACCTTTAGACTCCGTAGTCCAACAAAGATGATAGAAAAGTGTTTATGAAGGAGGAAAATCCCTGGGATATAGGAAAAGAATGGACCATGATTTGATTTCTGAATTCAAAAACTGTAAGAGTCTTTTAGAGTCAATCTGTTTGTGTAAGAGTGGCTTCAATTTCCTTGGTCTTCACAATTTATAATTTCCAAAGTAGTTACACTTAAAAATGAGGAGATTTTAGCTCTGATCTCAACTCCACAAATCACTATGTGACTTTGGGTACATTTCCCTCTTAGATCTTGATTTCTTCATCTATCAAATGAAAGTTTATATCTTTTAGTTTAAAATTTTTCTCAGAGAAAGCATCTGGATGGATTCATTTCTTTCCTTCTGTTCCCACATATTGCTCCAAACATGTGAAAACATTGATTTAGGTTAATGTGTATCTTTTTATTTCAACCATTTAACTTGGTAAATGTGTATTATTATTTTCTTCACACATTTTAAATGTATGTAAATCGTGTTGTATAATATAACTAATTTGGTTTCAAAATACTTTCACTAGGCACTGTACTTTAAAAAATAGCATCCATAGTTCTGTGTGAACTTCTACTTGTTTTTTTCAAAGTACTGCATACTTCTCCATGGCAGCACTGTCTATAACAGACATTTCTTTCGTGATGGAAATATTTTCTGTTTGCTCTTTCCAGAATAGTAGCTACTGGATGCCAGCGGCTACTGAGTGCTTGAAATGTAACTAATATCACTAAGGTACTGAATTAGTACTTTTATTTAGCTTGATTTGCTTTAAATTTAATTCAGATAACCACTGTGATAGTGCATCCTGTTCCAGAGAATGTGTTCTATAGTGCCCATCCATTTTTTAACCTGTTTACTTTTCCACTGAAAGGCACTCAGGTATCCTCCAACTCCATCCTTCAAACAAACACTCCTGTAAAGAACAATTTTGAATATATTCTTGTATATTTCTCTGACAGTAGAAATCACTGGATCTGGTGCATGCATACACTTAATTTTGTGCCAGGTGACTTTTTGGAATGGTTGCACCAGTCAACAAGTCCTTCTATACATAAAGAGTTTTCTTGTAGTCCCACATTCCTGGAAGTGTCTTATATTATCTCTTTTTCTAATATTTGCCATGTAATAGGTATAGAGGTATATTACCTTATTTTACTTTATGTTATTCTATTGAATTTGGGCATCTCACTGTATGCTTATTAGATTTTAATATTTCCTTTTCTGTAACACTGTGCATTTTTATTCCTTGACCACTAGAAATTTCACTAAAATTTGGAATTGTCTTTTTTTTTCCTTTTTGGTTGACTTTAGGATGATCCTTCTATGTTCTAGATATTAATTTCTAGCTGGTTTTAGTGAATGTCAACATTTCTTACCTCTTTGTTAGCTTGTTTCATGGTCTCCTTCATCCAACAGAAAGCCTCTAGTGTAATATAATTAAATACGTTGCTTTTTAAATATATTTTGTCCTTTTGCACTTTTAGTTTGAAGTACCCTTTTCTCTTAATGTTGCAAGAGTAGCCATATATTTTATTAATTTCATAACTGTCTTTTGTACCTAGTATTTAGGCATCAAATTTACTTCTATTTTCTTAAATATGGTGACTAGCTTCCCAACAGCATCAAAAAATATATCATTTTCTTCTTTGCTATGCCTGTTTTACATTATAATAAATTCTCATTTATACTTGGACTTGGGTTTTTCTCTGTGATCTCTAGTCATTTCCATTTATCTATTTACTTCTTGTTATGCTAAAATTATATTATTTTTGTACATTAATAGTGCCTTTCAGACTCTTGTAGGATAAATGAGGCTTAATATTTTCCTTTTTACAGATTGATGTTGTTTCAGATATTCTTTTTTTTTTTTTTTTTTTGGTTTTTTTCTCCGGTACCGGGAACCGAACTCACGACCTTGCGCTTGCAAGGCAGGCACTTTTGCCGCTGAGCTAAATCCCCACCCCCTTGTTTCAGATATTCTGAGCTTTTTATTCCACTGAGTTCATAATTCTTTAACTCTGCAATTAAAACCATCATACTAGATTAACACAACTACTCTTTCTCCCTCAGCTTAAGTATTTCGGAAAAATTTTTTTCTTTCTATTAACTTTTCAAAGACAATGTAAGTAAAGTGCAAATATTTAAGACTGTTCCTAGTTTTCAAAAGTATACTGCTTTCTACCTTCTAGGAACTATAAAGTGTAATAATTTTGTTGGGCTGGCTTGTCCACAGAGTAAAGCTGGTAGAGAATTTGCAACCACCCAAGAAAGCTAGAATTCTGCCTAACAGTGGACTGGGTTTAACAGAAACTAAAACAAAGAGATTGTACCTGGAGAAGTATGAGAAAAGCCACGCAAAGTGGACAAGAGATGTAGCTTAAATCCAAACAACCTCGTACTTCTGATTGACTTTAACAATGGAGCAGGAATTAAATATTCCCAAGACAGGAAATATCTGAGCCCTTACTGTGTAACAGCTAGTATTCTTGTTGTCTTGAATGTATTAAATGACAGAAGCCTTAGAATAACTCTGCTAATTTGGTTCTATTATTTTCTCCGTTTACCAGCAGGGAAATTGAAGGGATTAAACACCTGTTTAAGATATTACAGAAGTGTTTAATTTCTTATTCTAAACAGCTTCTAAAGCCCATGATATTGAGAATGCTGTCACGACTGTCAAACTAAATGGCTTAGAAGTGTCTGGAGACTCTACCGTGTCATGACAGTATGTGATGTCTCTGTGAAAAATTTACTAGATAGTAAAAATTAATAGTAGTTCCAGAGAGTAGGTTAGGTTTTAATACTGAGATTTAATACTATTGGGGCATCCTGAAAGATGGGTCAGTGGTAATAACTGCAGAGAAAAATTAGATCTTACTAACTTCTAGTTTGTCTGATGTAGGCACCACATTGGTGGTCTAGACCACCTTGGGTCCTCACAGCTCAGGCCCCAGTTTTCAGCTGTTATTCCAACTGATGGTGAACCATGAGGCTCAGCACTTGTAATTGGGCCATCAGAGGTGGAGTAAGCAAATAATTTTAAGTTGTCTGGGTCAAGATTTCCAGCATACATCCTGCTAATAGAAAATTTGCTCTTGGAAGCTGAGTGGACATGACCCGTTGATGAAGACTGTCAGTGGCCTCAGATGTGAGAAATTAGCCAAAGGCAGCGGGAGCAAATGAAACATGAAAGTTGGATCCATAGTCTGACCCTCTGCTCCTGCCAGAACAGTTCATAGGTCATCCTCCAAGAAAAGGGTATGAGCTCCATGCAGACACAGATTCTTATCTATTTTGTTCCGTTTTCTACCCTCTGATTGCCCGTGTTTAGAGCAAGGATCGGCATATAATGGACACGCAAATATTGTTGAAAGACCAGATGAATGTGTCCTCTTTCACCCAAGGATTTTAGAGGAGGCAAAACTGTTAAGAGATAAAAGGGAAATAAAATTATTTTATGTATGAGGATGCATGAGTGAAAGAGATGTGTATTAGTAAATTTTATTTATTTCTGTATTTCTGTATTTATCTATATTAATAACCATCTAGAAATTAGAAGCAAAGACCTATCTAAGTGTTCCCCAGAAATGACAACCAAGATGGATACCTGATCTTTTTGGTGTCCATGCAAAGAAAGCCAGGGAGACTGAGACATCCTAGTATACTACTGGTTCTGGTAGACAATAGATGAAAAAACTCCTTTTTTTTTTTTTCTCCGGTACCGGGAACCGAACTCACGACCTTGCGCTTACCAGGCAGGCGCTTTTGCTGCTGA